GAGAACCTCAGTGACTTCCCAGTCTATCCTATGATTTGGCTCCAATTTTGAAAAGAAATTATTAAAGTGTTTCATCCTGCCAATTTTATTTAATCAGGGCTTATATTTGCGTGACAAGGTCACACAAATTGCCTAGAAGATATGAGGGTTTACGTCGTATCGGAGGACAACCTCGGAACCTAGAACGAGTTTAGGGCTTAAATCGTACGACAGAGCTATACCATTGCCTAAAGAAAAGGCGGAGGATTTATGTTGCACTAGGCAAACAACTTCGAAGTCTTATGGATTGTTGTTTTAATTTCTAATGAGTGGTTTAGCTGGTGTAGACGTGTTCTGCTGTTGAAGATGATCGTGCTGCCCACAACGCTAGCTCCAAGCTCCTCGTCGTAGCACTTTCGAGTTCGATGTTAATTTTAAGTGTATATGAAATAGTTGAGTCAACGGTCTGCTGCCGAGTACCCCCTATAAAACCAACTACTGTCCGCCTATTCTAATGTATAGTGTGCAAAAGAGGCAGTAGCAGGTATAACAAAGGAAAGCAGTAGAATGTACAGTAGACAAGAATAGTAAAGTGTGTTGTAAAATAAAGCGCTGCAAATGTAAAACAAACATGTATACCTCGGAGACCCGCTGCTCCTTTAAGTGTAATTTATGTAGCAGTTATAAGTAGAGCTATAGAATTTAAGGAACGAGCTAGCATGTATTGTATAGGCAAAAGTGAACAACAATGGAAACGTCGCCTGGAAAACTTGAGGAAAATCGACAAATAATCCATGATGAAAAACTCGAGAAAATCGACGAGTAGTAATTTAAATAAAAATGTCAAAGTCCCAAAATCTATCTGTTTACAAAAAAGAAACAAGTAACTTTTTAATCAGTGTCAATTTTAGCACAGATCACAGAGATTAGCTTATCACTATCTTGAGGAGTCATTGATACGCCTTCATGTGGACTCCCCATAAAAAGTCTGGGGTTGACATCAAAATCATCTAACATCAGCTAAAAATCAACCCAGGATCCAAGTCCCTCAAGTAAAAAATGTGAGCCATGGCAAATAACCTAGCTCAACCTATTCGACGAGACGTGATGAAGCAAATAAATGCTAATTTTATCTAGGAAGTGCAGTGCCTTTATTGATTTGCTAATGTGGTAATGGTGAAAAAAAAAACATATGGTATGTGGAAGACGTGTGTTAACTTCACCAACCTGAAAGCAGGTTGCCCTAAAGGCAGCCATACTGTCGTGGATTGATGTGTTGGTTAATTCGACAATAGAATATCAAGTCATAAGTTTCTTAAACATCTTCTCCATGTATCATTAAATAATGATGCACCCTGCTGATAAGAGAAAAAACTATCTTCATCACTAAAGATGAAGTTTATTTTTACAATGTGATTCTCTTTAGCTTAAAAAATGTTGGAACAACCGATCAAAAGTTGATGGATGTAATTTTTATTATTCAAAAATAAAAAATATGAATATATATATTGATGAACTCATCGTGAAAAGTAAATCATTCGAGCAGCATATACATTACCTCGAAGAAACTTTCGTTACTCCGAGAATGTTCAACTTGAGGCACAATCCTTTGAATTATACCTTTGGAGTTAGCTCCAGAAAATTCCTTGGATACTTATACCCAAAGGAATCAAGCCCAATCCCAAGAAGAACCAAGCTATACTGGATATGTCACCGCCAAAGAGCCTCGAACGAAAGCTAGTCCTGACTGGACGGATTGCAGGAATAAGTAGATTCAGCTCAAAATCCGAAGACCGTTGTTCCCCCTTTTTCAAATCTATCTCAAATTCCAGCTGGTTCGCTTGGACTAAAGAATCATACAACTAAAGGCCTTATTATCGTTACTTCCTCTGCTCCAGAGTTCAATGTCACTAGTTGTACACCAACCTAGCAGTTGGTGGAGAAGCCATCAGTTCAATACTCATTCGTGAAGAAAATAAAACACAATTTCCTATCTACTATGTGAGCAAAATATTACAGAGAGCTGAACAAAAAGCGCATTATAATGGAGAAACTCTCTTTAGGGCTCTTCATATCGACAAGAAAATTACACCCCTATTTCCAAGCTCAAATAATACATATTATTATGCATCATCTTTTGAAGTATATGTGGTCTAAATCTGACCATCCGGGAAGACAACTCAAGTGGCAGTAAAATTGAGAGAATTCAACATCATCTGCACGCTCATAACTGCAATCAAAGTTCAAGTTGTTTTTTACTCCTTATGACTGATTTCTTTGAAGAATCATCGTATGTTGAAATTAACACGAAAAGAGATAAGCTCTAAATACTCTCATGTACATGAGGCTTCAAGTAACATATGAAAACAAGTAGGCATAGTTCTGCACAGCCCTTCCAGCTACATCTTGAGTCACTCAATTCCACTTGGCATAACTGCTGTTGACCTCCTTTTTGTAAGGTCTTTTCTTCTCCTTCTTAGAGCCTAGGTTCTAGCTCTAGAAATTCCTATGGACCATCTTAGAAAACTAGAATTGAGACTCACCCTTCTAGAAATTCAAGCCAATTCCTATTTTCCTTTGATGTCTAGCATCTTTGGCACAAGACCATCG